TCAGCCTAGCTCACAGCAACCTCAAACTCCTGGGCTCAAGCAATCCTGTTGCCTCAGCCTCCTGAGTAACTGGGACTACAGGCATGCACCACCATGCCCGGCTAATTTTTTCTATATATATTAGTTGGCCAATTAATTTCTTTCTATTTATAGTAGAGACGGGGTCTTGCCCTTGCTCAGGCTGCTTTTGAACTTCTGACCTTGAGCAATCTACCAGCCTCAGCCTCCCAGAGTGCTAGGATTACAGGTGTGAGCCACCTCGCCTGGCCAACAGGCTAAGGCTACTCTTGTTACTTGTGGGAGACTGATGGGAAACCTACTGAAGAGAGGAGAAACCATTTTTCCTTTACTGCTTCTGATGGGGGTTCTAGCAGCTTCTGGGTTCCTACACAGGCGGGACAGTTCAAGAAGGTGCAGGATCAGGGTATACCCTGCACTCCTGGAGCTCTGACTTTGGCAGCAGTAGTCACAGTGGTAGGCAACTTTGGGCTCATCCTGTCCCGTAGCTTCAGTGTGAGTGTGGGCTCCTTCCTTACTGCAAAACAGCAGCAGTTCAACGTCAGTAGAAGTTGCTCCCAACCCCTCAATGGCACGGTGATCATGGGTCCTAGGTAACACCATTTTCTCTTTTGTGCCCCTGGTCCTGGGCAGTAGTGTCTTCCAGTAGTCACTGGTCTTGGCAGCCCTTCAAACACTTTTGCAAACAATGTGTTGTTATTACATTTCTTCTGTTTGAATACTTAGAGTGATTTATGTTCTCCTAAATGGACAGTAACTGATGTACTTTTCTTCATGGGCACTCAGTCAGACTACATATCTCCTCCCTTTCAAATAAATGTGGCTGAATTCTAGACGATGAAATGTGATGGAATGATATATGCCATTTTGGGGCCAGGACTTTTGAGAAATACAGGCCCCTCTACACTACCCCAACCCTACTTCTTTCAGCTAGACACAGATAACCCCTGGGGTTGGTGAAACAACAGCATGAATCCTTGAATCGCCATGTGGAGGAAAGTGTTAGGCTATTTTATAATTGAGAAATAAAACTCAACTGTATCTGAATCTTTATATGTTCTAGGGTCTGTTTGTTACAGTAGATAATGTTACTTTAACTAATAAAGTTTTGGTCTAAATATTATACATTTTTGTAGTATATAAAGCAGCCAGAAATTCATTCATAGTAGAAGAGTAGGTAAATACAAAAACTACTTCATTCCTGGGGCAAACATTTATTTTGTCTTACCTATGATTGGAATAAAATTTTACAAGTTTTGAGTAACCCTAAATGATTCTGAACAAATAAACATATGCACCATGACTGGATTCTAAGCATGACAGACATGTATGACACAGTGGTCTCCAAAGTTGGTATTTGTCTACTCTGAAGAATACTAATTTAAACATCTAGGGATACAGAGATGATGTACTGGAGTAAGGGGAGAAAGTATAGAAAATTTTTTATAAGTTTTGTATTTTATAGCTAGGTGCAATGACTGATGTCTATAATCCCATCAACTAGGGACGCTGAGGTAGGCGGATCGCTTGAGGCCAGGAGTTTGAGACTAGCCTGGGTAACATAGCGAGACCCCATCTCTAAAAACAGTATGAAAAAACTAGCTGGGCATGGTGGTGTGTGCCTATAGTCTCAGTGACTGGGGAGGCTGAGGCAGGAGGATCACTTGAGTCCAGGAGTTGGAGGCTGCAGTGAGTTATGATTTGGTGCCACTGCACTCCAGCCTAGGCAACAGAATGAGACCTTGTCTCCTAAAAAAAAAAGTATCTTATTCTCTTATAATGTCTACTTTTGAATTTGTTTTATAACATGTATAACATGACTGTATATATAGTTTATAAATAAGTACATGTCAAAAATTTTGTGCTGAAAGGAAGTATGATCAAAAACATTTGGAGGCCGGGCGCGGTGGTTCATGCCTGTAATTCTAGCACTCTGGGAGGCCGAGGCGGGAGGATTGCTCGAGGTCAGGAGTTCGAAACCAGCCTGAGCAACAGCGAGACCCCATCTCTACTATAAATAGAAAGAAATTAATTGGCCAACTAATATATACAGAAAAAATTAGCCGGGCATGGTGGCACATGCCTGTAGTCCCAGCTACTCGGGAGGCTGAGGCAGTAGGATTGCTTGAGCCCAGGTGTTTGAGGTTGCTGTGAGCTAGGCTGATGCCACGGCACTCACTCTAGCCTGGGCAACAAAGCGAGACTCTGTCTCAAAACAAAACAAAACAAACAAAAAAAAACGTTTGGAGACCAATGGAAAACTATTCATTTAAAGGCCTTGAAATAGTCTTAGTAATATGATAGTGTTATAAATCCATAATGTATTTAATAGGGGGATGGATGAATAAGAGAGTGTTCATATACAGACAAATACATGCAATATTAGATGGGTTATAGCCTTAGCACTATCTCTTACCTTCTTCTGTAATCCTGGACAAGTTACTTAATCAGCCTTGGCCTGATTTTCTTCATCTCAAATATGGGGATTGGGCTAATTTGAGGTTTTCATACTCCTGCTCAGTGGTACTCTAGAGTTTCCCTGGAGTCCCTGCAAAGGTAGGAGGAAGGGAGACTACACGTGGGCTCCAGCCTTACCACAGATGCTTCTTGACTTGTAATGCGGCTACATCCCAATAAACTCATTGTAAGCTGAAAATATTGTAAGTTGAAAATGCATTGTATTAAATGCAACCTAACCTACAAACATCATAGCTTAGTCTAGCTTACCTTAAACGTGCTCAGAACACTTACATTAACCTACAGTTTGGCACAATCATCTAACACAAAAACTACTTTACAATCAAGTGAATATCTTATGTAATTTATTGAATATCGTATACTGTAGAGTACAGCATTATTTTTCTGATTGCTGCCACTGCCCAGCATCACTAGAAAGTATTGTTCTGCATACCTCTAGTTCTAGAAAAGATCAACATTCAAAACTTGGCCAAGTTTGGTAGCTCAAGCATGTAATCCTAGCACTTTGGGAGGCCAAGGTAGGAGGATCATTTGAGGCCAGGCATTAGAAAACAGTCTGGGCAATATAGCAAGACCCCCTCCCTACAAAAGAAATTTAAAAATTAGCCAGGGCTGGTGACAGCCACCTGTAGTCTCAGCTATTGAGGAGGCTGAGGTAGGAGGATCACTTGAGCCCAGGAATTAAGGTTACAGTTAGCTATGATCACACCACTGTACTCCAGCAAGGGCAATAGAGTGAGACCCTATTTCTAAAAAAATTTAAAAACATTCAAAATTCAAAGTACAATTTCTATTGAATGCATATGACTTTTGCACCATCATAAGTTGTAAGTAATAAATCAGGGACTTTCTGTATATTTCTTCATCTAAAGTACTTAGCTTCTGGTATAGATCAAACGTATAGGGTAGGAACTAAGAGGTTTAGGGGGAGGGGAGGGCCATAGAAGAAAAAAGAAAAGAAAAAAGAAAAGAAAGCCACTGGGTTAGATCACCTTTTTATTTTTTATTGAGACAGAGTCTCACTTTGTTGCCCGGGCTAGAGTGAGTGCCATGGCGTCAGCCTCACTCACAGTAACCTCAAATTCCTGGGCTCAAGCAATCCTGCTGCCTCAGCCTCCCAAGTAGCTGGGACTACAGGCATGCGCCACCATGCCCGGCTAATTTTTTCTATATATATTAGTTGGCCAATTAATTTCTATTTATAGTAGAGACAGGGTCTCGCTCTTGCTCAGGCTGGTTTCAAACGCCTGACCTCGAGCAATCTGGCTGCCTCGGCCTCCCAGAGTGCTAGGATTACAGGCATGAGCCACCGTGCCTGGCCTAGATCACCTTTTAAGATCCCTTTCCAGTTTAAGGAAGTGTAAGTCTTCATTTAAAGGGAAAATAAAATTCTGGCACTATAAATCTCTGGTATTAAAAATAACAGCCATTATTATTTTTTTTAAAGACAGGGTCTCACTCCGTTGCCCAGGCTAGAGTGCACTGGCACCATCATAGCTCACTGAAGCCTGGAAGCTTGGAACTTGTGGGCTCCAGGGATCCTCCTGCCTCAGCCTCCTGAGTAGCTGGGATTATAGGTGAGAGCCACTGTACCCAGCTCAACAGCCCATTTTAACAAGACTATGTAAATATAAATACAGTAAATATAAAACTCCTGGGTGAGCCAAACATGTGGAAAGTTGTTATTGATATAGCTGATGTAAAATGTAAGGCTACACTATTAAGGATCTGACATCTCAGCTGGCTTTTACTTGAATTAACTTCTCTCAGTCACAGATATAACTCTTAACAGTGACTATTTTACTCTCGATTTTTTTTTTTTATCAATTTACAAATTCATGTGATCAGTTTAACTAACTAGTTAACAGAAGGAAACCAGAAAAGATCACAAAGAGAGTAGGAAGAATGAGTAGAACAGTAAAACTCCACAGTGTCCCTAATTGAATAGTTGCAGTAAAGCAGCTCTGGTAATAACACATTTAAAATTTCCAGGGTGAAATATTTTGAAACACAAGTTAGAAATTTGGCTGCCCTGTTCTGAGCAAATATTTAAATTGTTTAGTCTCTAAAATTAGCAGTATTCGGCCTTTGGGATTCTGTAATTGGTATTTTCTTGGTAGTTATATTTACATAAAAAATTAAGAACATCTTCTTTATTTCACGACAAAATAATTCATTGGGTACATTTTACACTCCCTTTCTTGTCTTTCCACTTTATTATTCACTCTGCTGGATTTTCCCTCCTCCCTTGAGTCTCCTCAGGAAAAGCAACAGCTTATGCTAACAGTACATGCATGCAGGCTGGGCTGTGGAAACAATGGTTTTAAACTCTACACACCATAAAGTCATTTGAATAATGGCAACCAGAAACCACTCTTACAGCCCTCTTACCGTCTTCAAGGCTATATTTTGCAATTAGGTTCTGAATTATGTCGTGGGTGGAGACAGTTATTCAGGAGTAAAGTTTGGAACCTACCTACCACCCTGACTCAGCATAAAGAAAGGCAAGACACACCTTCCAAAAGGCTTTACTGTTGCTCCCAACATTCAATACCATCCTGTTCCGCTTAAAAACCCATCATCCCTCATCACTCACTCTGGTTTGAAATGTTTTCACCTTACACATACAAAGATACAGGTCCCTTTAATCTGTTTTATTCCTGCCTCCGTTAAAAAAGAAGACAGAAACAATATGGAATCCCAAATTCACCTTAGTACACCTAGGCACACTAGAATTGAAGGAATGACTAGCCTCCTCACCGTTGCACAGTTTCAGCTGCCCGGGTTGCATCCCCATTCTCACCTCCTCCACCCCACCTCCAGACAGGCTCCGCCCCCTTCCTCACAGCCAATGGGGCGCGCCGCACCACAGGGAGCCCACTCCAGGGATCCGCCACTTCGTCTGCCTAGGCTGGGGCGGGCCTTCCTCCCCCTCTTTTTTGGGCCCCGCGCATGCGCATTCTCATTGGGCCCTAGAGAGACGCTTAGGGATCGGTTTTCTCTTTTCTTTCCGCGATGGGGCGACTCTCCGAAACCCTTCCCACCCTATTATTGCTGAGGACCCCCCCTCCTAGTCACTGAGAAGGTGCTGCTCCGGCCTTGGGTGCGGCAGTACCCGGATGTGGAGCCGCTCTCGCCCGGCGGGGACTCTGTGGCGGGGCGGAGCGCGGCGGCGTGCGCGGGGGCAGAGAGAAGGGGGCCTCTGGGCCCGGGCGCTCGCCGGACGCCGGGAGGTACCACCGCTGCCCACGGGGGAGGAGGCGGCGCCGGCGCTCGGGCGTCCACCCCGGAGCGAGGAGAATAAAGGCCGGCACTTCGGCTCGCTCTCCCCCGTCCTCGCCGTCCCCCCCGGGCTGGCCTCCCCCGGCCCCCTGCGCTCCTCGCGCTCCCGGCCGGGGGAGAGCGTGGTTTCCTGGCGGCCGACGCTGTAGCCTGGCCCGGGAGCCCGGAGGAAGCGGGGCAGTCCCTGCCCACGGCCCCCTCCCCTCTGCCCGCGCGACGCCGCCGCCTTCCAGCCGCCGCGGGCCGGCCTCCAGTCCGAGCGGGGGGCGCGGCGGCGACGCCTGGGCAGTGGCTGTGGGCTCCGCGCGGACCGCGCAGCCGCCCCCGTGAGTTATTCCCACGTCCCGCGGGGCTCGCTGCCGCCCCCGCCGGCGCCGAGAGTCCGGCCCGGGCCCAACTCCCTCACGGGCCCCCCGGCGGCGGCGGCGGCAGCGGCGGAGCCCCCCGCCCGGGCCCCAATGAGTAACTCTCGGAATAACCGGGTGATGGTGGAGGGGGTCGGGGCCCGGGTGGTGCGCGGCCCGGACTGGAAGTGGGGGAAGCAGGACGGCGGCGAGGGCCATGTGGGCACAGTCCGGAGCTTCGAGAGCCCGGAGGAGGTGGTGGTGGTGTGGGACAACGGCACGGCTGCAAACTACCGCTGCTCCGGGGCCTACGACCTGCGCATCCTGGACAGCGCGCCCACGGGTGAGTGTGGCCCCCGGCCCGGGCCCGCGCGCGGGGCGGGGGACTGGGCGAGACTTCGGTGGGCTGCGGGGCCGCCTGGGGGAGAGGCCCTCGGTGGGACGCGTCGCCCGCTGCGCCCGCCTGCAGGGAGCGGAGCGGGGGAGGGCCAGAGACAATTTTAGGTTCTGTACGGGTAAACAAAACTTTCAGAAAAGACCCCTCCCCTCAAGGGAAATGATGGCTGTGCCATCACCAGGATGCTTTCAAGCCTGGAAGACACAAAGCGCCGGGAGTACAACAGGCACGGTTCCCCTCCTTCCCTTCCTCCTGGGAAGGGGTTTGGAGAGGCCTGTCTAATCAACCATTGACATTAATCAGCCACCAAGTGATAACTGTCTGAAGGGAGGCTTGCCTTGCCATATGGTGCCTAGTTGACCGGTTACAATTGCCGAGGGGCCGTTGGTACCTTGGGTTTGAGATGCCTTTTTCCCCTTGCCGCCTGTAACACAGAATGACTTAGTGCTCAGTAGTGGAATGCTACTTGGGACCCTGTGGAATGATTTTTCATCTAAATTGTTTAATTTTAATTTTATGTCTTTATACGAACAGAGCGAAAACAGCCTGAGCTCTTGAAGCATTTCTTTGTGTTAAATACTTTTTCCAAGTGGCGGATAGGCATGTTCTTTTTTTGTTGACATCCTGTCTCAGTAAGGTGATGTCAGAGTCTTACCCATTCACCTAGCAATGAGTCAGTGTCCTCTTGAAATTTTAGGGGTCTGTTTGTTATTGACTCTAGAGTTTTTTTGGTTTTGTTTTGTTTTTTTGAGACAGAGTCTCGCTTTGTTGCCCAGGCTAGAGTGAGTGCCATGGCGTCAGCCTAGCTCACAGCAACCTCAAACTCCTGGGCTCAGGCAATCCTCCTGCCTCAGCCTCCCAAGTAGCTGGGACTACAGGCATGCGCCACCATGCCCGGCTAATTTTTTTCTATATATGTTAGTTGGCCAATTAATTTCTTTCTATTTATAGTAGAGACGGGGTCTCACTCTTGCTCAACTCAAGCTTGTTTTGAACTCCTGACCTCGAGCAATCTGCCTGCCTCGACCTCCCAGAGTGCTAGGATTACAGGCGTGAAGTGAATCACCGTTCCTGGCGACTCTAGAGTTTTTTTAATATGATTAACTGAAGGCTTATTTTCACAAAATAAACATCTAATTTATTTTAATTCATTTTCACATACATTTATCCTTGATATTATTTATCCTTGATATTTTTCATTGATTCAATAGAAGATAGTTCAAACTTAAAACTAGATGCTTTCCAGAATTCCTAAATGAACAGCTTCTAAGGCATTATGATTTGAGTTTGTCAAAGCCTAACAAATCTTGAAATGGGCTTATAGTTGTTAGCAGCAATAAAAAAGAAAGTAACTCAAGCCAACTCAGTTTTTGAAAAGATATTTCATAAAATTGTGTCTCTTAGCTAGCTTTTTAAATGTTGAAAAGGATGTGTATGTATATGCAAAAGAAAATAAAACAATTCAACAGTACAGAAAGGGGCAACTGTTATCAGTTTCTTGTGTATTGTTAAAGAATACTCCCTGCATTGCAAGTGTATATGTGAATATACTGTAAATCTACTCCCCTTTTAAAGTATAGATGGTGATAAACTATATTCACTCTTGTGCATTTTTGTTTCTTTCACTTAATAATTCATATTGATGATTGTTCCATTCTTTCATGGCTACATAATATTCCAGTGACTGGGTGCAGCAATTTATTTAACTAGTACTTTATTGACAGGCATTTATATTGTTTTAGGTCTTCTTATTTACAGTGATGCAGTGAATAAATCCTTGTACATATATCTTTGTGCATATGTTTTGAATACTTCTGAAAAAGTGGAATTGCATTAAAGTGTGCACATATTTAACATTTTGATAAATGCTAATTGCTCTTTTATAATAAAAATAATTTTTACAAAAAATTTTAAGAGACAGGTCTTGCTCTGACACTTAGGCTAGAGTGCACTGGTCCAGCTATAGCTCACTGTTACCTTAAATTCCTAGGCTCAAGGGATCCGCCTGCCTCAGCCTCCTGAGAAGCTGGGACTACAGGCACACACCACCACACCTGGCTAATTTTTTTTATTTTTTGTAGAGATGGGGTCTCAGTATGTTGCCTAGGATAGTCTTGAACTCCTGGCCTCAAGCAGTCCTTCTGCCTGGGCCTCCCAAAGTGCTGGAATTACAGGCAGGAGCTACTGTGCTGAGCCAAATTAATTGCACTCTGAAGACACCCAAAGTGCTGGAATTACAGGCAGGAGCTACTGTGCTGAGCAAATTAATCGTACTCTGAAGACATTCTACCAGTTGACACTCCCTGCAACACTGTATGAGGCCTCTGCCTGTTTCTGCATACTCTGTTAAAGTTTTGTTACCATGCTAGCTCAAGCTGAAGTCTGACCACAACTCTTGGAGTAGTTCTTGGGATCAGTAATTGTAGGTTTATGGAGAAATTTAAATATCTTTCTAGGGTAAGGTAAAGTGTAACAAGTCCTGTGCTATAGCGATTTTTGAAGGGATATTAATGTCTATATGTTTTGTAGTATTGAGTGTATCCTTCATATTAATATTTTTATTATCTTAATATAAAAGCAGGTTTTTTCCCAGAGAACTGTTTTAGAATCTTAGTTTAATTTAGAAGATAATTTTATACAGTATTTGTTTTGTGTAACCGTTCATCTTGTTCATCTGATTCTTTTAGTAAACATATTAAACGCAGGATAGATGCAGGATAGCCAGCCTTTGTGTGAAATACTTATTGAAATATATTTTAATTTCTGTGGTTTAATTTCTTTAGTTTTTTTTTTTTTTTTTTTTTGAGACAGAGTCTCACTTTCTTGCCTAGGCTAGAGTGAGTGCTGTGGTGTCAGCCTCGCTCACAGCAACCTCAAACTCCTGGGCTCAAGCGATCCTCCTGCCTCAGCCTCCCGAGTAGCTGGGACTACAGGCATGTGCCACCATGCCCGGCTGATTTTTTTTTTATATTATATACATTAGTTGGCCAATTAATTTCTTTCTATTTTTATGGTAGAGACGGGGTCTCGCTCAGGCTGATTTTGAACTCCTGACCTTGAGCAATCCGCCCGCCTCGGCCTCCCAGAGTGCTAGGATTACAGGCGTGAGCCACCGCACCCGGCTCTTTAGGTTTTTTTTTTAAAAAAGAATTGTAAAAATCATAAGCTCTTGGATCTTGTTTTGCCCCAAGACTATAATACTACTTTCAGTGTTTTCTTTTTTTTTTCAAAATATTTAATAATTGGTATCCACTGACATTTTATTATATTCTGACAGATTTACTCAGTATTTATTATATTCAGTCTTTTACATAATGGTTAAAATTTAAAAAATTAACTTTTCATTTTGAAATAATTTCAGGCTTATAAAAAATTGCAAAACTAGTAAGAGTTCCCATTTACCTTTACCCATCTTCAGGTGTTAACATCTTACCAAGTATAGTTATTGAAACCAGAAAATTAGCACTGATACAATAGTACTGTATTAACTAATCTGTAGGCCTTATTCAGATTTTACCAGTTGTCCTGTGAATGTTCTTTTTTTTCATCTGACATCACAGTGCATTTAGTAGTGTCTTCCAGTCTGGGCTATTTCCTGGGTCTTTGTCTTTCATGATCTTGACACTGATCAGTAGTCTTGTATACTATCCTTCAAATTGGATTTGTCTGATGTCTCTTCATGATTAAAATCATTATATATTTTGGGCATGAAAACCGTAGAAATGATGTTTTGAACCACATATCAGGAGGTACATGATATCCATATGTCTCATAAATGATGGTGTCCATGTGGCTAAGTCACCAGCAGTTCTATTTACTATTGCTTTTGTACCATCAGTGCAATGCCAGCATGAAAAAGGTAAATAATATATTACTTACTATTATGAAAATACTTTTTTTTATTTTTTTATTTCGGCATATGATGGGGGTACAGATTTTAAGGTTTCAATAATATGAAAATACTTTTGATCTCATGAAGCCCCTAGATGGATCTTGAGGATTTCCCTTAGGGGTTTGAGAATGACACTTTGAAAATCACTGCCTTAAGACAGAATCTCTCATTGAGCACATAGAGGATTGTATAAGAATGTTTGCAGCAGTGTAGTATGTAAAAGCAAAAAAAATGGAAAAAACTTAAATGTATATCATCAGGAGAATGGATAAATTAACTGTGAATTTGTACAGTACAATACTATATAGAAGAGAAAGTTAATGTTAAGCAGACACATTTGCGAAAGAAAACCTATGGTATGTTAAAGTGCAAGACAACGCTATTTTTTAGGTAGAGTTTCTCAGCCTTGGAATTATTGATATTTTGAACAGGATAGGATAATTCTTTGTTGTAGGATGTCTTTATGCAATGTAGGTCAGCATCCCTGGTCTCTACTATTAGATGCAGGCCTCCTACTTGGAGAGGATTGCCTCCTTTGAGACTCATTACTTTAGGGATATGTACATGTGTGGTAAATGTATGCCAAAAAGTAATGATAAATACTGAATTCAGGAGAGTGGATATCTTTATGGTGAAGGGAATGGAGTCCAGTTGGTGGAAGTACACCAGGGGCTTTTTAACTATTGATAATGTTTTATGTCTTAAACTGGGCATTTGGTGCATAGATATTTGTTATTTTAATTTTTTTGTGTGTTTGACAAATTTCATAGTTAATTGAAAAAAGACAGCCTATGATATCTACTAGAAGTAGAATTGAGGTTGCCTTTTATTATTCATTTTTTGTTTCCTACTTACACCCACATTGTATGAACAGAAAATTTATTGCAGTATGTTTGGGAATTCAACAGTGGGTAACCTTCAACATAAAATTCTTTGAAACTTTTCAGAGATTTAAGGATTCAGTAGTGGTCGAGTCAATGTGAATCTTTCTGATATCCCCTCACCACATGTTGGAGATGTTGTCTGGGAGTTGTATGGGGTCTGTGTGGCATAT